GTAAATAAGTGGAAAAATAAAGGGACGGGGGCATTGAAATTAAATGGTATTGAGGGCATTTTAGGGTTAAATAAATTACTCACTACACACACGTCTTCCTCGCGTCCAACCGCCTCCATCTCCTCCGATCGACGCCATTCCCCTTCTACATTCCAAACCAGAAGACGATTACTAGTTCACCGTGTTCAAAAGTAACCTCCGCCTCGCAAAGCGTCACCAGAAGCTTGATCCATCGGCGGTCCATGACGTCACTCGACATTGCCCTTAACCCCTGAACGCCCTAAAAAGTCTATTAAAATTTTGAATTCCATCGCAAAAGCTAACCCTAAACCTAAACAACCTGTAGATCTGAATGTTAATGACGAAAACATAGCTCCTCTTGATCATGTTGCTCCTGCTGTTGATTTTGTTGATTATGTCTCCTCCGAAGATCTAAAACCCCTTTCTGACCCTGATGTCAAGTTCCAGGTAAATATCTTTCCGTTTCAGTGATTACTTCGAAACCCATTTCAGTTATATCTCATCTGGAAATCTAAATGTCATTTCTGATCGTGATGTCAAGTTCCAGGTAAATATCTTTCTGACCCTGATGTCTTAGTTCCATGAAAACTAAATCTATATCAAGAACCCAATTCGTGATTTTGTGCGATAGTATCATAACCCATTTGTGATTTTGTGTAAATTGATTCATTTTTTTCTGATTTTTATGAACTCGGTGCCTAATTGAAGGACTGGAATCCAAGGATTGGCTGAAGATTTGTGATTTGTTAAATGATGTTAGGCGGATGGCATTGTTTCACTCCACTTTATTGCTCTCGATCTTCTATGTAGAAACAAATACTTATTTTTTCTGTATTAAACACCAGAAAACGATTTTGTGGAGTTTACTAATATATTGTGTTTTTATATGAATATAGGGAAAAGGTTTTGTTGGTTTTAGTGAAGGCAATGAAGAATCCAAGAAGCACTTTGTGCAAAACTTCTATCATGGCTGCTTCTGATATTTTCAAATCATATGGTGATAAGTTGCTTGAGTCCACAACCTGTGATGCTGTTGACCACATGGTATGACTTATATGATGGAAATTATAGAAAATTCAATTTTAATATATCTATTTTACAACTAAATCTCAACATGTGGAGCATGTGAATGCTTTAGCATCTGAACTAGCAACCACAGCAACAAACAAATGTTTCAAGATTAATCAGTGCAAAGATCTGTTGTCAACATTCACACACATGGAGGTAAATACACATCAAACTCCAAATTATATTTTTCTATTTTATTAAACTATTTATAATCATTTCTTATATACTCATGTTTTGAATGAAATTATAATCACATTTGATTCACATGTAAATTACATTTGATTCACATGTAATTCACATGTGAATTTATGAATGAAACTATTAATCACATTTGATTCACATGTAAATCACATTTGATTCACATGTAATTCACATGTGATTCGCATGTAAATCACATGTAAATCGTATGTGATTCATATTTAAATCATATGTGATTCACACGTAAATCACATGCGAATCACATGTGATTCACATGCGAATCACATGTGATTTACGTGTGAATCAGATATGATTTAAATGTGAATCACATATAATTTACATGTGAATCACCACATGTGAATCGCATGAAAATCACATATGTATTTTTGTGAGTGTTTTTGCATTAATCAATTTTTTTTTCAATTTTCTTGTAGATTTGGAAGAAATTGTGGTGAATATTGAAGAGGTGAAAAATGATAAATTGAAAAAAATAAGGAAATATTGACACAAAGACATGAAAACGCTTTGAAATTTATAGCATTTTTTATATTTTATATTTTATTTTGTATCGAATAAAATACTTATACTATTATGTTTATAGATTAATTAATAAAAATGAGATTTTTTATGATTTATTTACGAATATTATAGTATTT